TCAAGAGGATTCTAGTTAGAACAAAAAGTCTCCTTTTCCGTAATAGTGTATCAAACAGCGTAAGTATGAACTCACTGATCCTCTACGGTTTTCTGTAGTCCACCAACCCATGACGTATTACTTGAGCACGACGTCGCTTCGGCTCGTTCTGGGCACTCCTGCAAATAGGTAGATACCAATAGATTGGCCGTATATTTTGCGTAATTCAAGATCTCTCTAATCACATACCGCGTATTTCTTTTCATGGCAGTTCGGCCTTGAACAAAGCAGTGCAAGGTGGCCATCCTTGTGGACCTGAAATACCAAGCCGTTTTCAGGGCCTACCCAATAATTCTCACTAGAAAAACCCTTTTGAGAAAAATACTGGAGTTGAGGAGGGGCACTCATCGCGGCACGCCATCCATAGGCCTGCTCTACTGCGCCCCCCCCCCCTTCCTCCTTTAGTCCAACAGGCTCTCGCCTCCTCAGGGAAGGACAGGTTTACTCTCGTCGCCTGTCATTTCCCTTTCCACGACAACAGTACAATTTGACTTATGAGTAACAAAAGAAAGAGCATTACTAAGAAATTTAACTTTCAACAGGAGATTCAGAGTGCTCACCTCAATTCCAAAAGGAATACGATTATTGCCGCAAAATTCTGCGCTTACGGCTGACAAGGTCATTGCTAGTAATATCGAAATTGCTCGTAAGATCATCTGTAACTGATTGATCAGTAAATTGATACTTGACGTCAATAAATATGAGCATCTCGAAGCAGGGCTCACCATCTGTTGCGCAGGATATGGGACATCCGGAATTATGTTTGGCCTTTGGAGGTAGGGTATCGCAAACTGCTGCGAGAAAACTCTCTTCAATTGCTGATTTCCCGTTTCACGTGTGCTGCATACTCCCCTATTTGACAGCGCAAAAAAATTATTCCTGGTGACTGGTCAGAGGTGTCTGTTCCGCCCCACCCGGCTCGACAGCAAAAGTTGGGAAGGTTTGGCAAGGTGGCAGATAGGGCAGGAAGTTGGAGGGGGGGGGGGGATAGCGCTAGAGGAGGACATGTTGGAAAAGGCTCAAACTTTGAAATCGCTTTCCAACAGCAGTGGTGCGCCCTGTCTCGAAGAAAGGACGGTGGATGCAAAAGATCACACAGATGGATAAATGAAAACAGAACGGTAAGGAGCTGTTGACTGAAGGAATAAAGAAAAATAAGCAAAGAAAAAGGAAGATAAAAGGAAAATAGCAAGGTAAACAATAAAGAAAGCATACCAATTTGATCCACGAAGAAGGCTCACATACAGCTGTTAAAAGTTATTCTACTGAAGTCTCTCCTGCGCCATCTGACGAACAGGGTACAGCATCGTGTGAAATACATGGAAGGAGGGGTCGTAGTTGCCGCTGGGGAGAGGGGTCGTATGTAAGTGACGCCACCAAAGTTCTACTATTTTCCGATAGTGTGAAATAGACGCGTTGGCGACGACTCCCCACCCCCCCCCCTCCTCCCCAGCTCGACGAACAACTTTTTGGGAAAAGTGTAGTGCAAATTTCGGAAAAAGCGGAACAATCAAACCTGGTAGGAAAGCCTGGGAACCATGTAAGATAAGTGGTAGGTAGGTGCTGAGGAAAGGATCAGCGTCGCCCGAGGCCCCCTTTCAGGAATTGGGCGTACTGACGAAACCATTTCTCACATAACTGGTGCTGCATCCCTGGAATCTTCGATATAAGGTGCCGCTATTCTACGGAAGTGGCGTATAAAGAGTCATGGATAACGTTTCGAAAAACACTGTCTGTCTTGCTTATTCCCCCCCAATTGTTTATTCGTTTTCACCATTACTAGTATCATGAGTTTCTTCCAAAGAAAAGCTGGATTCCGATTCTTCAGGAGCTTTTTGTCATTAAGCATAAGGACGCCACACTCAATGACTTTTGAGCTCCGCGCATGTCTCCGCCCAGCCAAGCGCTCACGCCTTGTGAATTCGTTTGTACTGCATATCACGCATCACTACATACCTGCATAAGAGAACTTTTATCAAATTGCTCTAGCATCCTGACTATATATAATCCCGCTAAGTTTGTCTGTTGGTTCGGTGTGTGTTGGTGTGTGTGTGTGTGATGTGTGTGTGTCGTGTGAACTGTAGCTGTGCTGTGTGTCTTGACCGAAAATTCCATAAACTTCCCTTCAAAACAGCCGACTGTGCGCTCAAACTGATAAGTGATGTAGGAGGTCGGGCAGGAACACTATTGGTAGGTGGCAGGAAGTGATAAGAGCTGATAAGATACCATAGGAGGTCTTAGAAAGCGAGGGTCGCCAACTCCATAACGCGCGTTCAGACGCTAAAGACTATGGTTCCAAGAGCAAGATAGGGGATAGGATGGGTACATTATTGGTAGGTGGCAGGAAAAGATAAGAGCTGATAAGATACCATAAGGGCTCTTAAAAGCGAGGATTACTGAATTCATAACACCGGCCACAGCAACGAAGAGACATTGGTCCCAAGAAGTAATATAGGGGGCAGTATGGGAACATTATTGGTGGGTGGCAAGAAATTGATAACACCTGATAAAGATAAGGGCAAGAAAAAATTCACAGCAGAGTTATAGCAACACTGGGAAGTGTTCCAGCAAGTAACTTAGAGGTACTTATGGAACATTAAAGGTGGGAGATAAATTCTGACAGCGTCCGACGAGGGTTTTTGGGAGTCCGTGTCTGCTCACATCACCGTAGCGAAAGAATGAATTAGCGAGTTCTTAATGAGTCAAGATGTTTTCCCTCAGCAAAATCCCTCAGTTTAGCGGTCTGAATTGCTTCCACCGCTAAACGCTCGAGTTCCTCGAAAAAGGATGCATGGAGTTGTTGCCCAGTGAGGAATGATAAGAGCCACTGTGATTTCGATATTTTTCACCATCGGAATCCTTCCAACCGCTATGCTGTCCGATTTCCAACGAAATGGTGATTTTAGAAATATGATATGAGCCTAACATTGGCAAGTGTTCATTAAAAGGGAAAACATCCATGAAATAAGCCGTTTGGAGACCATGAGGAATAGGCTAAGTATTGCTTGCTGCAGGACCACAGAAATCTGTCCAAGTATCAGTAACATAGGTTTAACCCGTGGACCGCATAGAAATGCGCGGTCAGCCAGCGGCTGGTTAAGCATCCCATGAAACAGGTATGGCGCTGGAGTCTAGACAAATGGGAGAGGAGGGGGAGGAGAGCGAGGGTAAAGTGAAGGTGACACTTCGATATGAAGTTCATCATCAACACCACGTCGCAACATTAATCTACCTCGTAACTCGTGTGGAACAGGTTCTACTGGTCCTCGTCATGACGACCAGTGCCTTTTTCCTAGTCCTCTCATAAAAGCGAAATGAAGTGCTCGCTTAATGAACTGAAGGAAGATGACGCAAACGAGCCGGCTTTCCTCAAGTAGGCATAAGGATTACCTTCTTGAGTTTCCAGTTTAAATACAAGCAACTGATGAGAAACCTAGGGAAATCGCTAGTTAAGGGCTAATTAAAGGCAGTTGGCGCAATATTTCGGTACTCTGTCTACAGTGGTAGCGGGGGTGCCAAATAGTGGGAAATGGCGAAAAACGAAATGAAATGGTCAAAAACCTCCCAAAAAAGCCCTCGCTCTACATGACTCAGAAAAATATTTCGGGCGAGCTCCCCCTGGCATCATGCCAATAACCGCTACGGTAGATACCGCTGCACGTATGTATGTACTCAGAGGCGCAGTTCGGCGACGGGGGGGGGGCATTTTGCACTTTTGCTACCATCGACGTGTCGACCTATCTAGACAGCCTCTTCTCGAGTTGACAGGTTTTACCATGATGGCTTGACGACCTTGCTCCAGCTTCACAAGAGTTCACAGGTTTCACCAGAGTGAGACTTGTAAACCGGAACTAAGGAAGCAATGATAGTACAAAATGCCCCCCCCCCCCCTAGCGCGAGCTGCGGGCTGTACTCATATATTCATTGCGCACCGCCAGCCGGCTTTATATTTCATATCCTTTGCCTCATAGTGTACTTCCCAAATGAAGCGATACGGGCATCAGAATCGGTCGGACATTCGTGGGCGGGCGGGCGTGGTGGGCGTCTGGGTCGGTATGTTGCAGCTTGTAGGGCGCTATGAGAGTACCTTCCTTGGAAAACGCGCCACGCAGCGCTTGCTCAGAGGTGTAGACTTGAGTCCTGGCTCAGGCGTAGCTACTGGCCCTCACGTATTGGAGATTTATGCGTTGCACAGCTTGTCGCTTGGAGCAGGATCCGAACGAATCCAGTCTACGCCCCACATGGAAATGTATGAAGAGAAACATGACGACGGCACTATTGACTCTTTTCGCCAGGGTAGATTTGACTAAAAGTTCGTGAATTCGAGGGCGAAGCACATCCGCTTGGTACCCGAACCGGCTCGGGCGCCAGGCCAGAGGCGGCGGTGCAACCAGTATTACCAAGGATCGGATACTCAACTAGAAAGGCCTGGCTGCTAGAGGTAGACGAAACGCGCGTGAACATAAATGTCAGCATGGTTAACGTTCGGCCGACAGGCTTAAGGAATCGTGGTAGCGGGGCAGACATGCACGGGCCTGCTGGCGGGAGAGATTTTTGGGCCAAAATACCCTAGCTGCCCCTCCCCGCACTCGCAATTTGCGCATCTCTGATAGGACAGCTCTTACCCATCGCACTGAGCCACCACTTTCCAGTTTTAAGCTTTTCTCAGAGATGTGAGTGGGTGTGGGTACATAGCGCTTATGGAAAAGGAAAAAGCAACAACTAAAAAAATTTTTTGACTGGGGAAAGCTTGGCTTGACGCTCCCAGGAGGGCCATGAAATATCAGCTCATTAGCACTTGTGTGATAAAACAAAACGGCGGGTGTCGTAACTCGTGGCTGCCGGGATCGCAATCTCTCCGTAAAAATGTTGGCCCGTTTTAAAGCGCTCATGGTTGGGCAGGAAATCCCGAAAAGAGGATGATATTCTAGTTTGTTGAGGGGGAGGAAGGGGTCATAAAAAATTAGGGGTGTAATGGTTTATAGCGGCGACGACGGTTGGAAAAGGAGGGGTCTTATAGAAGGAGAATAGAGCGATGATCGTATTTTTCCAAAACACGACGCTGTGCCCTGTGCGATGCTAGACGCTCGGTTTATAGGCGTGGGAATCTACGTCACTTGCTCCTACACAATCTACGCTGAGAGAAAAAAATTCAGAAAAAAATGATGAAAGAAGCAGAGACAATCAAAAACAACAATGTACGAAAGAGCAATTTTCAAGATTTCCGGGCTACCCCTTGTTGGCTTTTTGACCAGAGAAACGAGATATTCTCTGATCACGGGGACGAATTGAAAAGTGGGAACGTTCTCATGGCGTAGCGAGTTAACCCGCGTATCGAGGAGGGCGAGAGTCCGAAATATGAGGCTGAATGACTAACGATTCCATCTACCTACCATGTTTTTAGGTGGAGAGATCCGTTCGATTCCCAGAGATTAGTGGATGGTAATTATTCCAAAAAATGGCCTCATTTCTCTCGAATTTCTCAATCAGCTGACCCTTTCGTCATGAAAAGTAATGCGAGAAAAGCGAATAGAAGGAAAGAAAGAAGGATTTCCAAGAGATCAAGAAACAGTGAGAAGCTAGACGTGACAGCCGCAACTGTTTACTTCGTCCGAAACTTGATACCGTCCGTGCAACCGATCGATAATTGAAATGG